GTTTGAGCAAAGACCCAAAACACGCAAACATTTCGATGCCAGAACAGGCAGTTTTCCCTTTTGGCGACTTGATTTTGTAAGTGTTTTACTAGGGCGTGCTGTGGGGAGGGGGGTAGGAGGATAGATGGATAAGACCTTATTGATCCCGAAGGGAAATTGATGTGTTACAGCAATCCAGCGCAAGACCAGCAAAAAAAAAGACATCAGAATAGACGAAAAATTCAATTGCGTACAGTAATACGAAATAAATATAAATAGATAGGTGTGTGCAAAATAGGCTCTTAATCACAGTCCTAGCCTAGGGCAGCGTTATACACCCTGACAGCCGCTGGGAGGAGAGACCTGCGGAAACGTTCCCTTGAACACTGCAGCTGGGGCAGTCTGTCTAAAAGTGCTCTGCTGCCCAGTAACAGTCCCCTGTAGCGGATGAGAGGCGTTGTTCCTGATGGCTGTGAGCTTGGTCAGCATTCTCCTCTCAGCCACCAGCGCCAGGGGGTCAAGGCTCATCCCCGACACAGAGCCAGCCTTCTGCCCCTCCCCCCCCCTGCTGTTTCTCCCCTGGGTGCCTACAGCCCCGAATGAGGATTCCTTAGAGCCAGACAGCTGGGGACTTGAAAGATGGCCGGCCTTGGTGAGTCAGAGTGATTGCAGCACGGCGGTGGAACAGGTTGTTCTGTGCGGCGCGAGGATGCCGAGGAAGACAATAGCGAGGCTGGGAGGGAGAGAGGAGCAAGGCGAGAGAATGGAGAAGGTCACTGCTAAATTGGCTTTCTTCTTTCTTTCGCAATCACGACTCGGATCAGCATGTTCTGTGCTTGACAGGGTAGCGTGATGCGCACACAATCCTGTACTCCTCGTGACTAACGTCCGTTTTTTTTTTTTAAAGACTGGTATTGATGGCAATGGCAGGTTGCAACCAGTTTGGGATGGGCTGGCTTGAGGGGGGCGGGGGGGGCACTTCCTAAGACTGAAAATGTCAAGCGATTCTATAGTAAATAAGTCTGTGGCTGCTTTTCTGCAGAGACTTTGACCTTTTTTTTTTGTGCCCTTATGTAGTTTATTTCTGCGGTTAATCTGCCATTTACCTCCAGAGGCATTGGAAATCATTAGGTCTTAATGGCATTGAGCAATTGGCGGGCGGAAAAGAATCGAAATCTGTCTGTGAATTAGATAAATCGATATTGCAGCTTCAGGACAAGAGGGGGGAAAACAGCCATGCATGAACATACTCCATATTTGTGCCTGTGTATTTAGATATACCGTGATATGAAGGCATTCTGCACTTGCACCTGCAGCAGTGCCATTAATTTGCCGATCTCTGTGTGCTCTTCTGCAACTCCTTGGATGGCTCCCATTTTCCCATTAGAGACGGCATCTCGTCTTGGGTGTTGTGTGCCCGCTGGCGCAGTCTGGGAGGGTTTTCGTGTTTGCCACCCCCCCTGAAGTGACACGACAATCTTCCGACCGATCTGGTCTCCCGTCGTAGACTGCTTCTCTCCTTGCGCTTCTAGAGAAGGCGATCCTCATTAAAACGAGAAAGTGAGAAGCCAAATGAGACCCTGGTGTTCGAGTGCTTTTGTCTCCTTTGGATTTACTGTTTAATGCATTAGCAGTGCGCACGCATTGATGCAAGAGATCTCAAGGTGTCTATATTTAAAAGCGAGAGAGAGAGGGGAGGGGAATGAGGTGGGTGGTGGGAGGGGGGGGGGGCAGGATTTCTTTGTCCTGCAATGCGGGGGTGGAGGGCAGAGGAGGGGGGCATTGCTTAATGCAGAAGGCGTGCTGCCCAAGCAGACGCGGTGTCGTGACTGCCAGTCCCTTTGATACATCAGCCTTTGTGATTGGAGTGTGTGCGATCATGACTAGGTGGGGAGGGGGTACAGAAGATTGCAATCTGATTGTACGTGTTGCCCAATGAACCTGGTCGGGACGAGAAACTTCTCTTGGGCGGAAGGGCTGGACGTGTTCTCTCTGCAGCGCCCGAAGGAATTTAGAGCCGTGTGCTTCCGATACCCTGCCTCCACTAAGCCCGTCCCATCTGGGGTCATAGCAATTTCAGGGTTCGGCCCAATGTGTATTTTACAGGCTCCATCAGATAATCCCTTTCATTTCCTTGATGACTAACGTAGGAACTGGAGCTCGCTATCGAGCTACAGACCCTTCTCGGTGAAGGTTGGCATGCCCTTCACACGCGGCTCAAATAGAAATCAATTTCGTTTTCCACCCTCAAGTTTTTTTCTTCTTATTATTTTGGTTTCTTTCTGCCTCTCCTTTCCAGTTAACCTCTTTTTTTTTTCGCCACTCTTTACTCAGAAAGATGTTGTAAGTTTACGTTATTTAGTAAAGAGGCTTCAGGCAAAAGGCATTAGCTCGGTTTCCTGGGATCTGCAGGCTCTGGCTCTGTCCCGACACAGACGGCGCTGCAGTTCGCTCCGTCCTCCCAGCCCTCCAGCTCATCCTGCTGGAGCAGAGGAACCCTGCAGCAGTTCCTCCCCATTATTTCCAGTGTCTTATCTGATCCTGGTACTTTTTAGGCCAACCCCTCTGGGCTTGAGCGACATCCATCATCATCGGCGCACGGACGTGGCAACCAATCCCAGCATCCCCTTTGCTTTGATCGGCTGGTCCTGGCTGTGGCTCCTTGAGCAAGCCCGATCGCAGAAGGTCCCGGTTCTAGTCAAGAGTGTTCCAGGCGGAGCTGGGTTTGGACCCCAGACCTCGTAGGCAACCGGAGATCTTGTAGCTGGAGCGCTTTTCCTTTGGGGAAACCTCTTACCTCTTCCCACCCATTCCTCTCCTTCAATCTGGAACACTTTGTTCTTCCCATCGAAGGAGTGCTGAATGTCTGATCCCTCCCCCTCCTTCCTCTGGAAAGGTAGACTGCCTGCAAATGAGTTCCTTGAACCACAGGGACCCCAATAAATAAAACTGTCAGCTCCGGAGTTTGGGGGAGGGAGGGGGGAGAGAGCCCGAGGCGCACTCTCGCTGAATATTTCATCACTCGCTTCCTCCCCCTCCCCCTCCCCTGCGCCGGCGAGCACCCTGCCACACGGCCTGCGCTCCTGGGGTGTGGTCGGGCGCCGTCTGATTGAGGAGCTGGAATCTCCCCTCTCCCGGAGAGCAGGGGGGGGGTGTGCTGGCCGGGGAGGGGAATTCTCCAGCTGTTTGAGCTTCCTGGGGGGTCAGCAGGTGAGGCCCAAGCTGCTTCCCCAAGTATCGGGGGGGTCTACCAGCCTGGGGCGGTCCTGGGGGGGTCACCCTCTGCCCCCCCACCGGGGTTGCTCAGGGGAGGCGGCTCCTTCTCAGAGTGTCCTTTCCCAGAAATCGGGGCGTGGGGCCCCCAGGGTTGCACGAGGGGGAGGAGTAGCAGCGCTGGGAGAGGGGAGGTGGGGGCGCTGCCTGAGGTTCAAAGCAATTTCCAGGGTTTTGAAAGGAGGCGGAGAGGGGGTTTCTGGGATTGATATGGTGGTGGTGATGGGGCAGGTGTGGGGGCCAGCAAGGCCGGGGGGGGCAGTGAGGAGGTTCGAGCTGTACTGTCGTGCCGCTGGAGTCTACCTGCATAGACCTGTTTGACAAAGGGCACAGACCGTGGCTCCAGCCTGCCCCACACTAGAAGGGTCACGCCAGGGGCTCGCTGGCTGGGATTTCGGTGCCTGGGCGGGGGCAGTGGATATTTGTACAGGCAGGCGATCTGCATACCGGAGGATGGGTCAAAAGAGTCTTTCAGCGTTCTTTCTGGTTGGGTTAGAAAGAGAGAAAATAGTGCTTGCTCTAATGAAGCAATCTCGTCGGGATCTTGGCCGCCTCTCCGAATTGTTTCCGGAGCTATTCGGCTTTCAAGATCACGGAGCTCCTTCGTGACACTTAAGGACACTTAAGAGGTTCTGGGGAAATCTTCAAGACTTGTAGATGTGGTAAATGGTCAATGTGTTGGTCTCCGCGGTCAGGGAGAAAGAGAACCTAGACATTGAAGCTTGATTTTTGTTTTGTTTTTTTTTGTGCCCTGAGACTTTTTGTGGCAGGGGATCTTGTGTAGCCTGCCTGAAAGGAGGCACAGCGGGGCGCGGGGAGGAGTCTCTGGGTGTTGGCAGAATGGAGAGTGTGGAGCGCAGGGGTGGGGGGTTAGAAAGTCACTTTGTGTGTGTTGAGGAGTTGCAACCTCCATGTGATCTGCGGCACTGAGTGAGTGGCAGGCCCGTGACGGGAGATGAGTCTAATGTAGGGTCTGACATGTGCTCTAGGAGATGAATAACAGCTTGTCAGTAGGGATGAATCATCTCGGGAAGTTACAGGGACAGGCTAAATAATTATCGGGCCCAAGATGGCAGCCCCAACAGCATGCGTGTGTGTTTCAATGCTGGGAAAAGCGTTGAGGGGTAGACATGTCGTTTGGGGAGTGTGTACTAGCTCAAGTGCAGGGGCCAGGCTCGCCAAGTCCTGCCTACCATGCGGCGCATCACAAGGCGCCCCCCGTTTCTCCTTTTACTTTTTCGCCTGTAAGCGTCACCCATTCCGGTTTGGTAGTCGATGGGGCCCTTTGAAAGGGAGTGAAGAGAGGAGGGCGAGACGTGTCCCACTCGTGTCAAGCCCCTGTGTGACAGATAAGCTAACCCCCCCCGCGTGGCTTTTAGATTGCCCTCACCTCTCCCACCTGCTGGGGATGCCATATCTTAATCGGCACCTCCGTGCCCCCCAACAAGTTGTGCATGAGCTTGCTCCGTTGCCAGCTGCCCTGCCCTCCCCACCTTGGGGTGACTCACGGCGACCTTTCTTCGGGGGAGTTTCCCCCAGCGACCCTCAGACGGTGTAGAGGGTGTTCTCTGCTCGGGCGGCCTCCTCCTCCCCTGAGTGCCCGTCGCTCGAGAGCATCCTGTCGAGGTGTCGCTGGAAGCCTCGAGCCCTTTTCCTTTTCCTCGGTGGGCTTTCACTTTCAAGCCACACGCACGCACGCACACACACAGAGCATCCTCCCCCTTCGTTCCTGGAAAACGACTCCTCTTGCCAGAATGGGAGTCCGGGGGGGGGGGCTCTCTTTACCCCCGACGTCACCAGAAGGTGGGAATCCGTGGAAATGATACATCTGGAAAGAAAAGGTGGCGGCGGAGGGAGATCCGTGGTGGGGGTGCCGGTCCGGGAGCACACGCTGGGTTCTGGATCTCCCCCAGGGCTTGCTCGATAAGGCATCCCCCCCCCAGTCATCTTGCATATCTCCTTAAAAAAAAACAGCTTTCCGTTGGTGCAGTTGTCTTGCAAAACCTCCCCCCCCCCCACCCCTTCCTGCCCTCTGAATGCCCTTACTGCAGCTCTTTGAGATGATAAAAAGCGCCTTTATTTAATCAGATGCGAGAGGCTCCCTCCCTGCCTCCTAAGCTCCATTTCGGCTTCGGAGTGGTTTCCCCACACGCAATCGGCAATGAGGGTCCGAGGATAGCTCAGCGCACGTTCTCCTGATGGGATGTTCGGAATGAGCCTGCCCGTGCCGTTGTCCCGGTGTCTTCCGAACAGAGGGCTGGGTTCTTGGCGTTTGGCGTGCGTGAGCGACTCCTGGGCAGCTGTGCGATCCTGGGAGCGGGCCCCCCGAGCTCTGGGTGGACGTGCAGGAAGGCGTAGTCAGGCTCTCCTTCCTTTTGGGAGCTCCCGAAATGGGTTAGGCCTTCCTGTCCCGCCAAAGAGGCCGAACAGTCGGGTATTATGCGTGTTCAAACGGGTGGGACGGTGTCCCGCATCTGCGCCAGAGTTTGGGAGGGGGTCCTTTGTCTGCTATGTCATGGAAAAGGAGTTCGGCCTCTGGGCTGGAGTGGGGTGGGAGGTCAGTGCTGAAGGGATGGGCTTCCCTTCCTTAAACAACATGCCTTCCCTTCCCCCAAAGCCTTCAAACATCCGTAGATGCTCGAGGGCAGTAAATTAGTGAAGAGATTGATTCTGGACTGTGGTCAGCAGGGGGGACAAAGACAAAAGAATGCAAAACAGCTCAGTATTGTCAAATCTCAGCTTAGGTTTAGCAGAAGAGCCTTATAAAGCAGGAGCTGATCCCACCCCCCAATCCTCTACCGGGCGGCCATTAACGGATCTGTTCCCATCTCCTTCCTGTCTGCAGGTCAGCGACTTCCTGTCGGGCCGCTCACCTCTGACCCTCGCCCTGCGCGTGGGCGACCACATGATGTTCGTCCAGCTGCAGCTGGCGGCCCAGCAGTCCGGCGGGCAGCAGCTGCACCACCGGCATCTC